AGGCCCTGATGATGTGTTTTATAAAGGCCGAAATATTGGCAATAATCTCTACTTCTTTCTCTACCTGACCAGAAACCAGATCTTTGCGATCGATTCTTCTTCATCAACATAAGGTAGAAATGTATTTAATGTTAAGCTAAATAATCCGAATTGTGTGTTAAAGTTGTCCATCAGTGTATTTATTTAAATCTATTGTATCACACGCTTAATTGCATAGCCTAATTACAACTACAGGTTGCTGTACTTCTCTATAAGCAGTTTGTTAAATCCCAGCGAGTACCTTTTTTTACGTTAATGAAAAGAGTCCCTTTGTATAACTCTACAAGCTCAAAAGCTTTCAGTAGAAGCGTAAATTACTTTCACTCAAATAAATCACTCCGTAAATCCAGTCCAGGGGCATATTTCGTTTCTTGGAAATAACAGTTGGAAATAATTAGCGGGAGAAAGATGGTGGAAGGGAGTTTTTCTACCCTTCTGGTTGTATTCGTCTTTTTAAAAACAAATCCATTGTTCCTGGTGGATCTGTGTAATTAAAAACCACGGTTTTTGGAGAGGGGGCTTTTACAAAGGGAAACCCCCTTGGAAATCAATCGTGAGTTTTTACGTCTGCCATAACAACGTTAGGGAATTTATTTTCCGCTTAAATTCCCTTTCTGTACTTATAATTGTTCAAGTACTCAGCCAAAAAAAAAACAGTTTTATCAGACAAAACAGTTGTAAATTGAACACGGAAGTTGAATACTTGCGAAGTAGATTAATTGTCTATACTAAAGAGCAAAATGATTATTCAACATTGTAGTTGAGGCAAAATTGAACAATATTCTGTCAATATGTTCTCTATTTTCTTCTTTAAAAAAATAAAAAATAAAAAAATAATAAAAAAAAATATAAAAAAATAAAATAAAAAATTAATTCGGTCGTTTCCAATCATTTTGCCCAGCGATTCGCTACCTCAGTGGATGTCAGGGTTATAAGCAGGGTGTGGCATCTACATAGTCCCACCACTAATAGCGAAACGCTTATAAATAAATAAAAATAATAATAAATTGGAGTGAAATAGAGAGTAGATGTCCGAGAGGATCGAAGTCCCGATAGCTAAAGTGGTAGAGTAGCGGCGTATTTAGCCGAAGGTCGTGGGTTCGAATCCAGCTCGTGACACTGACTTTTTTTATCTCAACCAAGACCTTACATAGAAAGAATAATTAGTCGAAAGAGTAACTTCGTCAATTGACCACTAAAACGTAAATGTAAAAATAGTAATATTAAATAAAAATTCACAAATTTCGTGGTCCGCTTGACCAATTAATACATTACAATTAATTAAGGTTTTTAGTTGAGATGAAGAAAAAAGTTAATGGCACGAGAGGGATTCGAACCCACGACGTTCGGCTATATACGCCGCTGCTCTACCACCTGAGCTATCGTGACCTCGATCCACTCGGACATCAACTCCCCATCTCAAACCCAATTTATGAGTTTTCCCTCCTTTTGCCATTTTTCAAAAGTCAAAAGAGTTGATGTCCGAGTGGATCGAGGTCACGATAGCTCAGGTGGTAGAGCAGCGGCGTATCTAGCCGAAGTTCGTGGGTTCGAATCCCTCTCGTGCCATTAACTTTTTTTCATCTCAACTAAAAACCTTAATTAATTGTAATTAAATAAAAATAGTGAACACTAATAGCGAAATGCCAAAACGGGACCAACTCGATTAACAGGATAATCAAGTATAATTAATCTTCGTTTTTTAATTGATTGGTTTTTGTGGCCAATTCGTTTTTATGTCCGTAGATTTCTTAAATAATTAAAAATTTAATGCACTATTCCATTCTCTTTTTCGCTAATAAATACATTCTTGCTAATAAGTATATTCTTAACAACATTCTCACTAATAATAAATGCCATCTTACTAATGAATGTTTTCACGCTAATGAATACATGTATTTTTTAAAGAAATGTATGAATGACAGTTTTAGGTCTGGACGATTAATGCATCGCCAATGTTAACTGTACTTTAGACGTGAAACAGTGCTAAGTCCGAAAACGATTTGATCTCTTTAAAGTCGTTTATAGATGCTGAAAAGAATAGGACCCAGCACGGAGCCCTGGGGAACATCCGATGCATTGCCACTTAAGTATCATTAAACCTGACTGTACCTGGACATAAATAATGGCAGATAATAACTTATAAGATGACATATCCTGGAAAATCCAGTAAGCATATGAGATATTGGTGCCATACACAATCAAAGGCTTTTATGCTAACTAGTATCATCACAAAATTTATTAAAACATCTGAGTAGAAAAATTTTCGTTTTTTTTCATCAATTCATAGGCGTTATAGAATTTGCGAACGGTCTGGTTCAAAGCGTCGTAATTAGGTGGAAGCCTTCTATATAATTAAGCCCCGCTTAAGTCCAAAGACCCCTGCTTAAAATTTAAAATGGCTCAGGTACACAAAGGGAACGCTGTTTAATTCTACAATCGCCCATTTTCTCCATTTTCTGGATTGCTTTACGTGATAGTTTAGTGTTTATGTATTCGCTCGATAAATAAATAACCTTGTTAATAAATGATTTGATGTATCATTTCGGAAATATAAAATATACAAATACTTTAGTTACAAATATACAAAATTTGTCACCAATTTAATGGGTTTTCTAATTTGCGAGTACCCTACGTCAGTGTGATATGTTGTGTGTTGTAATGTATTAGCGTGAATGGATGGGCTCCTTCCCCAATTACCACGATGAATAACATCTACCTCTGCGGCAGTGTTAATATAATTTATTAGAGTAAGTGAAGTAGATTCTTCCCCAATCTCTCGGAGGCATACAGAGTACTCTGGGTCATTGTGGATATAATTTATGTGTGTATGCTTCATCCCCAAGCATTCCGAGAATATGGATTTCTCTGTGGCAGTGTGAATGTAATTTAATAGCGTGAATGACCTCTCTCCCAATCACCCCGAGGCTTGTGAGTAAACTGGGGCAGAGTGGATTTAATATATTAGCGTGAATGGAGTGACCTCTTCGCGTAATCACCTGAAGCACATTGAGTACACTGGGGCAGTGAGAATCTTCTTCCCCAATCATTCCGAGGAATATGGATTTCTCTGGGGGCAGTGTGAATGTAATTTAATAGCGTGAATGACCTCTCTCCCAATCACCCCGAGGCTTGTGAGTAAACTGGGGCAGAGTGGATTTAATTTATTAGCGTAAATGGAGAGACCTCTTCCCGTAATCTCCAGAAGCACATTGAGTACACTGGGGCAGTTAGGAGCTTCTTCCCCAATCATTCCGAGGAATATGGATTTCTCTGAGGGAGGGTAAATTTAATTTATTAGAGTGAATGGAGGGACCTCTTCCCGCAATCACCTGAAGCACATTGATTACATTGGGGCAGTGAGAATCTTTTTCTCCAATCATTCCGAGGAATATGGATTTCTCTGGGGACAGTGTGAATGTAATTTATTAGCGTGAATGACCTCTTCTCCTAATCACCCCGAGGCATATTGACTACAGTGGGGTAGAGGGAATTTAATTTATTAGCGTGAATGGAGGCACCTCTTTCCGTAATCACCTGAAGCACATTGAGTACACTGGGACAGTTAGAGGCTTCTTCCCCCATCACTCCGAGGAATATGGATTTATCTTGGGGCAGTGTGAATGTAATTTATTAGCGTGAATGGAGGCACCTCTTCCCGTAATCACCCCGAGGTATATTGACTACAGTGGGGTAGAGTGAATTTAATTTATTAGCGTGAATGGAGGCACCTCTTCCCGTAATCACCTGAAGCACATTGAGTACACTGGGGCAGTTAGAGGCTTCTTCCCCCATCACTACGAGGAATATGGATTTATCTGGGGGCAGTGTGAATGTAATTTATAGCGTGAATGACCTCTTCTCCTCATCACCCCGAGGTATATTGAGTACACTGGGGCAGAGTTAATTTAATTTATTAGTGTGAATGGAGGGACCTTTTCTCCTCATCACCCCGAGGTATATTGAGTACACTGGGGCAGAGTGAATTTAATTTATTAGTGTGAATGGAGGCACCTCTTCTCCTCATCACCCCGAGGCATATTGAGTAAAATGGGGCAGAGTGAATTTAATTTATTAGTGTGAATGGAGGCACCTGTTCACGTAATCACCCCGAGGCATATTGAGCACACTGGGGCAGTGTGAATTAATTTATTAGCATGAATGGAGGGGCTCCTTCCCCAATTACCCTAAGGAATATCGAGTACTAGGGTGCGAGTATGGTAGATGGAAACGAGAATAACAATAAAGAATGAGAGGGTGGGCGAGGACCAATAACTTTTTTCTGCCCTAAACAATCATCCACTATATATAAATCTGATTTCTAAAAATAAAAACGATCAACAATTTGGAATAGAATAGACGAATATGATTCAATCAAAATACATCTGCACATTCGTTAAGGTTCTAATTAAACGTTTAATAGCATTCTAAAAATTTGACTTTTTTAGCTAGACAAGTAGGATTCTTTAAATTTGAATTAATTAAACTCAATTTTAGGTTATGGTGCGTAGCTTCATGACGTGGAATATCTAATAGTCTTGAATAATAAATCAGATTAAATCTAAAAGCCTGGTACAGGATTAAAAGATTTTTTCTCCAGCAGGTACCTCTTTGTTTAATGAAATAGAACAGGCCAAGTGGAAAGCGCATCGTTAAAAATAAATGTACTAGTACAATCTTCCGTGCAGAACCCTTTCGTCGAATTAAGCCCTTGTTGACTTAGCTAATACCGGAATGAAGTTTACGTTGCAAACGGAAAAAATTTTGTGCTTTCTTTTTTTGCCTGTGCTACTTTCATTAATACAGCTTATTCAATGATCTTTTTATTTGTAAAACTATAATTACGAAAAATACGTCTATTTTTAAATCTGTCCTGTGTAATAAATTGTGATTAAATATCGGTCTTAACTTTAAAACTTTATATTTCTTGAGGAAATTCACATTGGAAGTTTTTGTTTCAGACCTGAGAGCCATGGTGAGACGAAGGAAGACGATGCGGGTCACGCGAGTGCCTCTCCCGGAGGGTCCAAGCACAAAATCGTAGTACTGGGAGGTGCCAAAGTTGGCAAATCGTCCATAATAGCCCAATTCCTCTACGGTACTTTCTCAACCAAGTACAAAAGGACGGTCGAAGAGATGCACCGGTAAGGATCGCGCGTTTTACCCCGTTTTACACTTCGCTCATCCAAAAAATTATGACCCAGGGAAGAGTTCAACGTCGGCGGTGTGCGGCTCACTCTGGAGATCCTGGACACGGCCGGCTCCCTCGAATTTCCAGCCATGAGGGCACTTTCTATCACTTCCGGAGACGCTTTCATCCTCGTCTATTCGGCCAACGACACGAAATCTTTCGAAGAGGCGAGGATCATCAGGGACCAGATACTCGAGATCAAAGGCGATGCCGATGTCCCAATAGTCGTCGTCTGCAACAAGATAGACCTTCTCGAAAACCAGTACAATGAGGTAATAATTACTAATAATTTCTTGTTTAACTTAAAAAATGACTGTCTTCCAAACTGTCGTTTGATCGTGTTCAAACACCCTGGTCTAGTTACCAGCTTGGCATATAGTTTCGTTCGATCAGTTTGCTTGGGTGATATTTAAAAAGTGAATGTACTTTTCAGGACTCAATCAAAACACACGAATCAATCGTGACTGTCGACTGGGAGAACGGTTTTGTTGAGACTTCGGCCAAAGACAACATCAACGTTTCTCAGGTGTTCAAGGAGCTTCTGGCCCAGGCGAAAGTAAAGTATAACCTCAGCCCTGCACTTAGAAGGAGGCGGAGACAGTCTCTGCCACCGCAGCAGGGCCAGGCGACGACACCTGTCCACCCGGCCATACCGTCTCCTGCCCAGCTCGCACATCTCAACAGCATCAGGGAGAGGCACGCGGGCAGTAAACGCAACTCCTGCTCCATCTCATAAACAAATGGGTTAAACATAACAAATAAATATAATCATAGTTGGACGTCTGTTTTCTATATTCTTTCTATAATTTGGCTCTTGGGCACAGGCACTCTCTTCGAATTGGGTAACAAATCTTCAATGGGTTAAACTCTATCAAAACGATATACGAGTATTAATGTTAATAAGTTGAAAAGTGGACCAGGAAGTTTTGAAAAAGTAAAGTAAATTTTCCACTTTTAAAATGAAAATAAGATATAACAGTTGTCCAATAATAACTAACGTTTAATAAGCGACTATTACTATTCTTTAAGTGTTGTGAATTCCCTGGCTCGTAATACGATAATAACTTTTTCTTAAAAATGTATTCACTCAGTATTAACCGGTATTTTTTTATTAAATCAGTTTTTCATATTTAAGTCGACAAATTATGGCATACGATCAAGAGTTAGGTTCGCCATAAAATTTTATTATCGTCTTCCCCTTGGATTTAAGATTTAAGTCAATTATTGTTGATACCAACGTTTTGGTGATTTTGCAGAATCTTATTCTTCGTTGGGATTATTATTTTGTGGATGTGAATTGAAGTATATTTATGCAATACGTGTGCGTCTAAAAGTAAACAAAAGTGTGAAAATAATCCTTATTATCTATCATTGCCTTCATAACCAAAACACCACTTTGTCCAGATTTTAATTTTAAATATCTAGGGTCATTCAGTCCAAATTGTTTGTTGTAGACGTATAAGAGAATATTTATCTATTATCATAGGCATTCAGAAAAACTAGCGAGTCTAATATCAGACATGATGCGTGTGATCTTTCTGGTTTCTGTAGTATGTCGTTAAACTGTGTTTCTTATAATTGCCGCTATGACCCTCAAAATTACATTTTAAATTCCAACTTAAATAAAACTAAATTTTAATGAGTAAAGAATAATACACAATACTGTTAGGGCATAGGTTTTCTTCTATGTCGCATAATTGGGCAAAACCAATTTTTTTTTTTTTTTTTACCCAACTTTAATAAATAAAAATAACTTTTACACATAGAACATGAAAGTAAATACTTAAATAAATAAAATACAAAACAACCCATGAAAATGTGAAAATATTGAAAATAATCTCTATCGATTTCTTGAAATAATACAGTCAAAATGTTTCTCAGAATTAATACAAAAATTCAAAATTTCTGTTATCGATCAATTTTTACTTGTCACTTATCAGTGCAAATTCATCAAACATATAATCAAATGTTTGAATATTCAATTGAATCTATGATCGATTGATCCTTAAACTTGATGCGCTGTCGTAAAGTCAAGCAGATCGATCACAAAATAATTAAAATACACAATAAAAATTATATTTAATTCAAAAAAGACACATTGAGATTCTAACAGCATCTCTCTAAATAAAGCGAGGTAAATATAGAAAATTCAAAAAAACACTAGGAATGGCTGTAACTTTTAAAACAAGTTTTTCTTTTTAAATAGTTTGTACCCTTATTGTATGGTTTCTAATTACAAATTAAGTTTAAAAGTGGGATGGGATTTTCATTACCATGAGTAATTGTAATTGTGAGCATTGAGTCATCGGTTTAGCAAGCGCTATACTTTTGAATGAATGACCAGTCCGGTAAGTGTTCTTATAAGAGATTTTTAAAATTCTTAAATCTATAAAATGCTTAAATGTAATATTATTTTCTTAATAAGCTCGTTATAGATTGCTATATTTCTAAAAAAAAAGTTCTGTATGTTTTTGTTTATAAGTTATTTCACACTCATTTTGGCACAATTAATGCAAAATTGTGTACAGTGTTTTAAAACGTTGGATAATGTTTTCATTTGTTTTTGATAAAAGTTTGTTTCAGTCCTAAGAAAATATTTTCTTCTTTGTTTTAAATTTAAAAAATGGTATTTTTCTATATCTTTGATTAATTGTGAACAATGCAGAAGTTCCTTTTTTTTCGATTTTGACACCAGTGGTGGTTTTTGTTTGACATATTCTTTTTACTATATAGACTCATTGGACAATCTACTGTAATAACAAAGTGTAAAACTGAATGTGAAGGTCAATTTTGTGAAAAAAAAGAAATATATATATAAATAAATAAAGGCAATTCTTGTAAAAATTAGTCTTTATTTCAGATCTCACTCATTCGACTGGGTGTGCTTTCAAATTTCCAGTTTTAAAAAAATAACACTTCAGGAAAACCCCAAATTGTTTTTCTTTACATTTATTTTATATATTATTATAATACACAGTGTATTTCATTGCAAAATAATGTATGGCAAAATCTTTTTTTTTCATAGGCAAATAGAAAATCACTAGTTGTTTCTAAAATTTTGACTATGCAATATAAAAAATAAAAATAAAAATACAGGGCTGAAATCTATTCATAATAAAAATAAAATATATTCAAATATTCAAAAGGAATGTACTTGAATAAATTTTGGATTGTTCATAGAAATAATCTTGAAAGTATTTCTCCACAGGTACATTAAACTTTTTGATATTTAAAAAATAAAATAAAATAAAAAGTCAAAATTAAACAAAAAGGCAAAATATAAAAACAAAACAAAAATCCAGACAAATAAATACAATATGTGCAAGTAAAAACCTATAGCTATACATTTTTATATACATGTTAAAAACTTTCTGTACAATATAACAATTAAAACAAATATTACAAATAATTATTGAACAATGACATCCATTCTGAGTAATGAATACAAGTCTGAGGAGGTTTCGAGTTACTAAATAATGATTATACCCTGTTTAAGGCACGAATCAGTCTGTTGACTTAAATAAAAAAAAAAGGATCTCCGCTTTCATCACAGCGTAATCGACAGTCTCAGTGAACGCTTTCGACGATATCTTTGCTCGGCGTGGGCTTATCTTTGGACGGGTCATCCCAGGGCTGCCTCTTGCTCGTCGCAAAAACGAGGTAGAAGATATTACAGACTATATAGACAGAAGACGCTACGAAGAACACCTCCCTCCATGCAGCTTGTGTGGGCTAAATACAAATTTTATTACTATTGTGTGCACAATTAAAATTTATTTTAATAATAATGGTCAAATATTTTTTTAAAAAATTAAATATTAAATGATAACAGTGGCTGAGTGGTTAGGGTAAAGTGGTTTGAACCATGGTACATGAAAACCAATGGGAAGTTGGGTATCAAACCCACTTGTATGACAGAAATTATTTTATTTAATAAATAATAATAAAAATTTAAGTATTTTTCAATAAAGTTCAATTAACAGCCAAAACATATTTAAAAATCATTGTTTTTTATGATTTTATGGAATAAAATAAATTAAATGTACAATTAAGTGGCTGATTCTCTCAAAATTTTATTGCTCGAGTATACCTGCGATATCATTAGTGATATTGATAAATTATTGTCATTTTATTTACATGGGGTTTACACTTTTCATTTTTCAACTTAAAAACACACTTTTCATAATTCTTGGGACAATCTCAAAACACTTCACTCTTTTCATGGTAGTAATTTGTCTGATGATATCAACAATCTGCTTGTCAGTCTGTTCAGGCAAAATTAAATGTTTTGTCTCTTATCATGAGTGGCCACTTTTAATCAAAATGAAAACAAAAAGGAAAATCTTTCATATAGTATAACTGAGTCTTACCCTTCCGTGGATAATATGACCTGCTATGATCGGTGCGACCAAGCCGGCCATGTTAGCGCTGAAATTTGTGAAGGACATCAGTATCCCTGCAAATCTCGGTGAGATGTCCAGATGGTTGACTTTGAATCCGGAATATATCCCACCATTCAGGCCAACACCGATGGTCAGAATTGAAACGGTCAGATAGGGGTTGCAACCAGTGTAAGAGGCCAGGATCAGTGCCAAAGCTGGGCTGAAGTGTCCTGAAATATTTTCAGTTGAGATGGGGTTTTTTTTTCTTTTTAATAAATAAATACAATTACTAATTTACCAAATCCATTTGCAACTTTTCTCGTTGTCGTATGAGACAATTTCTTTGTTGTTATTAAGTAATCTGCAAGACAGCTGGAAGAGACTGAGAAAAACCACATAGCAAGGTAAGGAAGAGCTGAGAGGACTCCATTCTATAAAGGTTAAACATTTTTTTAAAATAATCAAATATATAATAAATAGTTAAAAACCAGTTAAAGAAGGTAAATGTTTTTGTTCATAATGATAATTTAAAACGTTTTTTGTAAAAGGGCCATTGAATTTTATGAAACTGCTGGTTTAATCATAAGTGACACATTCTACAATTAAGAAAAAGCACTCTATCAAAGTAGGGTGTTTTTCTTGGAGAGAGACCAGCCGTAGAAAAGAAAAACAGGACCGATGAGAGGAGTAAACTGTTTATGACAATATTTACTTTGCCACTGAGTGATCTCGAAAAGTTAAAAGCAGTTTCATCGAGAAAGAGTATTTTTCATTCAATCATTTGATGTTTTATATAAATGTTTTACTGTCAAAAAAATAAATTTGGACAATAGTTTGACTTTTATGTTTTACCTCCTTTATGTTGAATCGCAAAACTTGCTTCATGAATGTTGGCAGTTCAGTCATTAAAGTTTCATAACCGTAGTTCTGTCCGATGTGGGCAATTAGGATGGCCCAGAAAGGCTTTGATTTCAGAATGGACATCCAGGGTACGGGAGGAGACTGAAAAATTTAATAGAACAGTTTAGATAACATTCACAATGTGCTTAAAAAAAGTGTACGTACAGACACTCCGCCTGTGCCCCAGACAGTGCTGATAATGTATTTTTTCTCATTCTCATCTATGGTCGGATGGGAGTCTGGGTCTTCGTACACGGTGAGGAGAAAAGCAACAGCCCAGATGGTGCTGAGAACCCCGAAAAAGTAGAAGATGGAAGGCCATCCTCCGAGTTCGTCCACATCTGACAGAATGCCACTGAGAGGCATCGAGACGACTGTTCCGAATTGAGCCCCGGCATAGACGATAGCGCCCATTCGGCTTCGCTCATTAGGAGGAATCCATTTTGCCAGCATGGCATGTGTGCAAGGGACAATCGGACCTTCCCCTAGCCCCTGGATGAACCTGATGATGATGAGACTGACTTGACCATAACTGGCAGCCAATGGCACCAACATTCCGAACACTGAGTTGAGGAGCATACCACCTCCGAGGAACCATTTTGAGCCATACTTCTTTGCCAGGATACCGCATGGTATCTGTGTGATGCAGTAACCGTAGAAAAATGCACTGAGGATATACCCCTGCTCTTCTGTGTTCCATAAGAAAGGACCATCCTTATGGTGCTGAATGTACAAATTCAACAATTAAAATACAAAATTAACACAAATCTATGATTCAATTTACCACATGAGAGTCGTTTTTGTTTATTAATGGACCCTCTCCACACTCATCAGTGACAATCGTTGGGTCCTTTGGTAGCGCTGTTTGATTCACCATGGCGACTATAGCTACAGACATGTTTGTCCTCATTGTGTAAGCATTCGCCATTCCCAAGAACAGCATAACAGTCACCACATGCCTTGTTCCAAACCATCCTATAACAGAAAAAATTTAATTATGTTTTTCTTAGTATAAGCCAGTATTTCTTTGTTATGTGTATTTTATTTATTGGTTGAGTTAAGACAACTCTATTTAGTGGTAATTAATTTAATCTAATTTAAAATGGTAATTTATTATTATTATAATGATGTTTCGGGGTCAGTACCTCATATTTTTCTTTTATGTACCACTATTTGTCTTGGGTGATACTGATATTACTCTACAGCCCTTGCTCAATTCAAATTGAACTTCTTTCGGACATTTCGTAATTTAATCATGTTCTCTAGTGTATCTGCGCTAATGCCTCACCCTGCTTATATCCCGACCAACCACTGAAGATATGCCGAAACCCGTCAGATATATCAAAGACGAATCAAGATGATCGGAAACGTTAATCTAACTTTTTTTATTCGATTTATAACAAAAATTCCAAGGGCAAAGCCGAGATTCGAACCCATTACCGCGCCCACGATTACGAAAATTGGATGCCTTAAAGATAACGTCCCCCACGATTGCTAAAAATAGTATAAATTAATTAAATACGAGATGTGACGGCTGATTTAATTTTGGGTTAATCGTTTCAATTTATTTATACGATCTTTAAATTTAAAAAACACGCAGCTAATTTTTTTAGAAAACGAACATTGAACAACAATTGAACTTTTGTCATCACCGATCATTTTCGCTCAGTCACATGCGTTTCAGTATTTTGCCATCTTTAGTGTTTGGTCTGGGTTATAAGCAGGGTGAGGCACCTACAAGGTTTCTGTGAAGATAGTTTGCGCGACAGGTTAATCGTTTGTAAAACTTCTTGTAGCAGGTTTGGCCTACTTCAAGGACATATTGGGTATTAAGGTCGCGGTGGATGGTAATATTGGATAATGTAGAAAGGAGCACTGACATTGTGTGTAGATTGGATACTTTGTTGGCTGGGACGTTTGGTTAAACCTCAAAGTTCGTTGCCATACGTCCAAATGATGACGTAAATGAGGCGCTTCTTTTTCAGACCCTCTTCTCAAAAATATTGGAGGGGATCCTCTTAAAACGGTTGATCCCTAGTCTCAATTCTTTCAAACTTCACCCACACTAACGATTTGTCTTTCGTCCTCAACACCCCATAATCCAGAAGGTGTCAGGAGTCACAATCATTCGACTTCGTATAGCACGTCTCACATACACACTAAGCGCGTCCTTCCATACATTTTATAGTTTTTACCTAATCCTTCGTTCCTTCCTCGCAGGATATTTTTTCCCGAGTTTGCCAAGGGTCCGGACTACTCCGACTACGAACCGGGTGTCCACAGGGCAAGGTGCTCGGACCAATCATGTACCTCCTCTTGAACTCAGACATCCCAAATACATCCTCTACTCTCCTTGAATTGAAACACAATAACCTGATGATATCTTGAGTACCAAGACACTAGACAGATTCTGGGTGATGAAAAGGCAGACAACTGGCCAGAGGACGATCTGCAATGCTAAATATAGGCCCTGAACCTATTCTTGGGATAACAATGGGTACAAGAAGGAAAAGTGCATAAACTCTCTTGGCGCTTGACACAGTTAACTTATGCTAATAAACCCTCACCAAGACTGGCAAACTAACTGCTACAATTAGAGAGGGCTAAACTCAGAGGAGTGATAGACAATTAACCGGTCACCTTCATCTGAGGAAACATCTACACACAATGGGCATTTTCAATAATGATACCATTTGTAGATTATGAAATGACTAGGAAGGAACATGGCCCATATCATCTTCGCATGTGAAGCAACTGCTCAATGGAGACAAAACCTGGGATACAAAGAAAACTCAGAAAAGAAATTGTAGCAACTTTCGAGTCGATTGCCTTGAGCTAAGAAACTAGGAAAGTACAATAAGCTGCAGTGCTAGGAGAACAAAAACCCCACTTCCATCCATCATCATCATCCATTGGAATAGGACGAATGTGATTCTAATGGCAAAATTGTAAATATAAGTAAGAAAACGACAAGTTTTTGGCTAAATGTAATTAGATCGAACTCAGAAGTCTTTGCAACTGAATTAAAAATTATAAATAATCGGATTGAACAAAGTATAAGTTTGGACTATTGTTTTGTTGAGTTATAAAACTGAACTTTTTACACGTGGACATAATTAAAACATTGTAAATAAGAGAAACGATAAGTATTATCATGTAAAGGTATATATTTATTTATTAGTCGAACCCTTATCAAACTTTTTTTTTTTTTGTCATTTGTTAAACAATGGATGATATAAACAAGTTAGACTATTTAAAGATCGTACGGTTGTCTGTTGAAACGTTTCGAAAAGTACGAAGTCTAGATTAATTAAAATCATGAATCACATAAAAAAAAATTCTATTATTTATCACGTTCAACTTTTGAAATTGAGCTTGTACGAGCAGACTTTTCCTCAACTGGAAGAAATAATTTTTTTTCGAGTTTTCATCATGATCACAGGCCGGAAACGTGCCCTGTCCTCTAAGACCCGGTGCAACTTGGGCATTACGTCATTCCCCCTTCAGAACAAACCAACTGTAAAAATAAAAAGTACAAGAGAAGAAAATAAATAGCTTGTGCTATTGTTAGGGACTTGTGATTTACGACGTCGAAATGCGGACTCGATCTTTTTTAAAAAACAGTTCGTCATACGTTTATATAACCGTCCTACACCCTTATTACTTTTGTTTATCTTTAACGTCTTTTGCGTGTGTTTTAACTAGAATTTTTTCTGAAAATTTACACATTGATATCTAGTTGAAATGCAAATATTTTGATGACCGGTCATTTCTACCTAGTGGGTCTCAAAAATCTAGTTTTTCTTGATATTTTGCGTAGTTTAGCCTACATGTGCTTTATTATTAAGCAAATTTTTGATTTGTCTAAAAAAATTCTATGAGACACGTAGAGCTTTAAGTATCATAAGAATTCGTATCGACTCCTTAGCTGGACTTGATCAGACTATAGATCAAGATTTTTATTTAGAAATCGTGAGATGCGGTCTGGTGAGATGTAGGTTTCAGAAAAACATTTTCTTTATCGTGCCAACGTTTCGATCTTGATTGAGATCATCTTCAGAGCTCAAAGTGTTTGTCTTCTGTGTAATTGTGCCATTCTTGCGTGTCATGTCGAGAGTGCTCACGTGGGGGCGCCATTCACAATTACACAGAAGACAAACACTTTGAGCTCTGAAGATGATCTCAATCAAGATCGAAACGTTGGCACGATAAAGAAAATGTTTTTCTGAAACCTACATCACACCAGACCGCATCTCACGATTTCTAAATAAATATCAATTAACGGTCACTAATCACCACAAATTAAAAAAATTAAATTAAATTTTAAAACAAACTATAAATCAAGGCCTTTTTTTCAGCAGCCTTACTCTTCAAGAGCGTCAAATCTTTGATATACTTCCAATTAATTAATCTTTATGTAAGGTATTAGTTGAAATAAAAAATTAAGTGTCACGAGCGAGATTCGAACCCACGACCTTCGGCTAAATAAGCCGCTTCTCTACCACTTGAGTTAGCCGAAGGTCGTGGGTTCGAATCCCGCTCGTGGCACTAACTTTTTCATTTCGAACAAAGCCTTTCATAAAAGATTAATCAATTGAATTAAGGTTAAGGTTAAAACAAGTCAGCCTCTTTACGATCTTATGAACCGAAATTAATATTGGTCTATCGTGCAATCTACATTGTTATATATTACTCTTCGTTAAGTATATGCTTTTTTCAGATACCAAATCTTTGATAAGGGCTCTGGAACATATAGTTTGACCGACAAAGGACATATTCCGCCGTTACTTCTTATTCCTGGCAATAAACGCACAAGATTGTTTCTGCTGCTTTAGAACCTAGTAGTTATAGTAACCATCTGAAATTTGATTGCATTGATTTTACAAGGTTTATATCAATTCTAGTCCTTGGTTGTTCCTCATAGATACCAAAATCTCACACATATTCGGTGGTCGGAAATAATATTTAAGGTTCTTATGGTTTTCCTGAGAACATCATTGATTGACAGTAAAACATATTCTTTGGTGGGAATTTAAAAATAACCCACTAATCTTTATGTAAGGTATTGGTTGAGATAAAAAAGTCAGTGTCACGAGCAGGATTCGAACCCACGACCTTCGGCTAAATACGCCGCTGCTCAACCACTTGAACTATCGTGACTTCGATCCACTCGGCACCAACTTCCCATCTCAACCCACTTCTCGAATTTTCCCCCCTTTTTACCATTTTTGATTTACGTTTTAAGCAGAAAATGTGTGTTAAACCGAGACCACAAATCGTATAGATAAATGACAAATATGTATCAAAGGTTCAATTCTATTCGAAGTGTAGAAAATTGAGTAGATATTAAACGTAAAATTAGACAAACCAAAATTTAAAAAAAAATCCTTTTTCATTTTAAATTTCAGAATATGCGGTTAAAAACCCGATAAGGAATCAGTAGGACTTACGTACTTATTATGCAATGTTTGTTTACATACTTGAATGTAAATAAACTCCTGTCAAAATAGAAAAGGCAATAATTCATTCCGTTAGGATCGATACATGTTTTTACGATTATCAAACAAAGACAATTATTCCAGATCACTAATGAAAAATAGATCGCAAATGTTGCCCAACAATCAACTTTATGGATTTTCTTTGATCGGCCTTCGCAACAACACAAAACCGGTTCGGACACGTATATTTTCAATATACAAACAAGGAAAGGCCTTTATATTTAATTATTTAAAAAAATGTAAAATTCATAAAAGATACAATGTCACAAAATGCTTTTTTATTATGCAACGAGAAAGATCTGACGTTACATTGCTTGCAGAGCATAGCGCTATATATTTTTATTTGCCTGGCAAACTCTAGCGTAATTTATTGTCCAATGAACATGTATGTAACTGAACAAAGAGAATAGTTGTAAGAAATCTCTGGGAGGAAAATGATCATGCAACATTTCTTGAATTGCGTCTTATTTGAAAACT